CTGTGTACTCTACGGTAATCGGATATATCGAATTCTCCCTGAGCGAAATCATCTGTCGATGGAAGAAATTGGGTGTCACTTAGCAGGTATACTCTACGGTAATCGGATATATCGAATTCTCCCTGAGCGAAATCATCTGTCGATAGAAGAACTTGGGTGTCACTACTCGTGCTCTACCATCAAAGATGAACTGAATTTAACCGTTATTAGACGCGTGTACTTGGGTATTTGACAACAAGCGGCGTATTCTACCGTCACAGAAGGTATTTAAACAAACGTAATTAACCATGCTGAACAAACGTGACTGCCACCATGAAAACTCTACCAAAAACTTTGCTAAGTTCTTCCAGTATAGCTTAAAATGGTCAGATATTAAAACTCTCGACGCGCGATTTTGTCTCATCAGCTGCCCGGGGGTAAATAAATATCCTATTAAACGTTTTGTTGTGTAGTTTCGCTGAGTAGTTTTACGAGTTCTGCCGTATTTTGACGAGTCCGTAGGGCAAGTCAAAATACAAACAACGAGTAAAAATGCCCAGGGATACTACACAACAAAACGTCTAATAAAAGATTTATTATCCAACACGCCAAATTGTTATTTCATTGCGGGCGAATTTATCTGGATATTCTCTGGAGTACATATACCGCGAGATATTTGCACTCGTTTAGGGCGTTATTTGTACTCTACGAAGCGCAGTTGGACAATAATGCTTGCTATTCACTTCCGAACTGGCCAATCAGCGCGTACTTTTGTGTGGTATATACTAATGTTCGTTATGCTATTTAGACTAGGTTTACACTAGAGAAGAGTTTTCCGGATTCGTAAATGTTTCCGGATTCATCAATTTTGGAGTATTCGGATTCGTAGGCGTTTACACTGAAAGGATATTCGGATTCCTGACCGTTTACACACAACGAAAACTCCGGGAGCATTCGAAATGGAATGGTTACCAAGCCCAGTGTTGTTTCATCGTTCGATCGACAAAGTGAAAATGCCTCCCCAAAAAAGGTTAAAGTAGATCCAGATGAGGCAAATTTGAGTTGGACAGATGCCAAGCCATCTACGTCGTCGGCGATTAGGCTGACGTTAAACTTCCTTGCAACAATAATTTGCGTTTTCTCAGAAATACTGCGGTACACGTAATAAAATCTATCGCCTGAACCTGCAACAAGATTAGGCAACCGGAGACCGCCAGCAATGTTAGCACCAGATCCTCCATGTTGGTTTCACCGCAAACTCAAAAGATTGCAGGCGGAAATAATATCCGGATTCGAGAAAAAAAGCGGTTACACGATAAAACTTTCCGAATTCAAAAGTTATCGGATTCAAAGTTCCCATTTTAAATTCCGGATTCAAAATCTCCGGAGACACAACCAAACCGGGGAGTTTTTATTTCGGATTCGTCAACTTTCGCGTAAACGGCAAAATCAATCCGGTACTAAAACGTTTCGGATTCATCACGAATCCGGAACCATTTTCTTTTAGTGTAAACCTAGTCTTAGTGTGATTCTTAGATGGATCTTCCCACGAAACCCTCGCACGTGATCATCTAAATGAAAGCTCCCACGCACGATTGACTTGCAGCAATGTTTTTTACATCAGTTTTTAATTAAAGTTTCTAAGCCTCTACGCATCACTTCTATATGTAATTGTTTACTTTGTTGTCCATATAATTTCAACACTCTTATTGGTTATGATGAATATATGAAGTTCATATATTTTGAACTGCGGTTATAGATACGTATGATGCACGATCCTCGCAGTGGAGAGCGCTATTCATGCAAGAGAGAAAACCAAAATATATGAACTTCATATATTCATCATATCTGATTTATCATCAACTTAATGAATCAGCTTAATTTACGAATCAACTTAATGGCCTGCTCCCAGTTGGCTTGTTAGCTCAATTGGTAGAGCGCTGCACTAGTATCGCAGAGGTCAGTGGTTCGAATCCCGTACAGGCCTGATTTTTTTCAGGTCTGATTTTCGCTATTGCATAAATAGCGCTCTCTACTGCGAGGATCGTGCATCATACGTATCTATAACCGCAGTTCAAAATATATGAACTTCATATATTCATTGTATCTGATTTATCATCACGGGTTTATTACGAATCAACTTAACGGCCTGCTCCCAGTTGGCTTGTTAGCTCAATTGGTAGAGCGCTGCACTAGTATCGCAGAGGTCAGTGGTTCGAATCCCGTACAGGCCTGATTTTTTTCAGGTCTGATTTTCGCTATTGCATAAATAGCGCTCTCTACTGCGAGGATCGTGCATCATACGTATCTATAACCGCAGTTCAAAATATATGAACTTCATATATTCAT